CTTCCCTCTTCCATCTTCAATGCCAGCAAAGGAAGGTTTCTTACATGCTTAGGAATTCTCCCATTATCACATCCCCTGACTCACTCTTCTGCCTTCTCCCACTTCTAAGGACTGGTGTAATTCAATTTCCCCATTCAGGTAGTCCAGGCTATTGCTCCATCTGAACATCCTTAACCTTGATCACATCTGCAGAGCCCCCTTTGCCCACAGGCAGCAAGGCTTTCAGAATTAGGAATTTAGAACCTTTGGGAACCTTCTCCTCTGCCTCATAATTTATGAATGTGCCACCATTTGTTTAACCATTTATCCACTAAAGGGTATTTGGTGGTTTCTCAGTCTTGACTATCCTTGAATCAAGCTGCTAAGAACACTCCTAAAATGAACAAGTATGTAAAGTAGATCGCACCGGGTTTTTTTTGCCACTTGCTTTTCCCACTCATCCTTGTAGTTCGGCATTTTGCTCATGTTTGCCGGATAGGTCGAGGTAGTGCCCCGTGGAGCTGTACACTCTGCCTCCAAGTGGAGGGTTCTGATGAATGGCTATTCCAGAAGGGCATTCATTATTCCGCCGCTGGTGGACACGTAGGCTGCTTCCGACTTTTGCTGGTACAAACAGTGTTGCAGTAAACAGTTTTGAGCAGATTTCCACATGCACAGGATAAAGCCTTTTTCTAGACCGGACAAGTAGGAGGGGAATTTCTGGTCCTCGAATGTGCATGTTGGCAATTTAAACTAGATATTGTCTGATTATTTGCCAAACACTTTCCTGTCCACCAGCAATGCCAAGAGTGTTTTCTACATCCCTGCTGACTTTTGGGGGGATGTCACTGTGCTTTTTCAATTTTGCCCATCCAAAGAGTATGAGATGGTATCTGGTAGTTTTAATTTTCCTGATCACTGTTGAAATCCAACACACCCATTCTCATATGCCACCTCCTCCTTCAATATCCTTTCTGTCTTTCTCCTGACACCAATATTAGAGGTTACTGGTGCTCTCTCTCTCTCTCTCTCTCTCTTTTTAAAGCATAAATATCTGGACAGTGCAACCCCGACAACTGAAATTTGGTGTCTTGTCAGAAATTACAGGATGTTCCTCAGGCCTCTGTGTTTCCATGGGAACAAGTAACAGTCATCCTTCATGATTAGGTGGTATCCATGGCAACCAAGCCGGCAGCATTTGAATGAAACTGATTTTATTTTATTTATTTTTTGCAAACACATTAAGGTTAAAATGTGTTGTTTCCCCCCCCTTTCCTGGTGGTAGCTTTGAAAAATAGGAAGACAGAATGGTCTTTTTGGTAAAATGGAGACTTTTCTGACCTTCCTAAGGGAAAGGAGATCCAGGATCTGCTGGCCCTGTGGCTTCATTTTGCACATGGGGTGTCCCTTAGGTCATGTGAAAGTTGCACAGTGAGTCTGAGCCGAGGAAAGACTTTTTGAACCAGTGCTCCAAAGTCTGGCGGGAACTGTAAGAAGTTAAGCAGGTCTTCTTCTCTGCGCTCTGTCCCCGGGGAGGTCTCTTTCACGCTGTGGGACCTTGCCAAACTCACTTGACCTCTCTAGGATTCTGCTTGCACCAGCTGTGCTGCTTACACGTCTGGACTCCTAAGTCCAACCCCCCCACTGTCTGCACCTCCAAGTTAGAAAAGAAGTGGTACTAAATAAAGGCTAAGCACAGGAGGGTCAAGGATGCTGGGGCCAAATTCCCAGAGGCCAGGTTAGGACTCAGTCAGCTTTCTACCTTCTTTTCCTGTGTAAAAGAAAGAGCTATGTGGGGAGAATGGGGAGTGTAGATGGTCACTGCTCTTCCTCCCTGACTCACTAAGAGATATTGAATCAGGAGCTCAGAGAAGGAAAGGGGCTGGCCTGAAGTCAAACCTAACGTGCTCTTCCTGTCTCTCTCAAGCTCTCTTTTCTCTGAGTTCTCAAGTACGGATTTTCATAGGCCTTGATGTAAGGAGCTCTTGGGGTACACTCTTACTTCCTGTTGGGGAGAACTTTGGGGGAAGTCACTAGTGCCTCCCAGAACCTCTATTTCCTTATCCAGAAAATGGAGCACTCCACAGCTGTTGACTCTGCATGTAAAGATTGGAGATGATATTTGGAAAGGGTCCAAAAAATAAAATCTCAACAGGAGTAATGAGGTCCTATACAAGAGAAAAATTAGTTCTTAGAGGGGTAAAAATATCCTCACCCTGTGTAAAGTCAAGTATGCATATAGTACATAAGAGCTGTACTAGATGTCTGTGGTTAGGAGACCTGGTGACATACTGTGTAAAGCAGTAAGCTGCTAGCCAGCACGCTGACGCTGAGCCTCCCAGCTGCTCCAGAGATGTGGAAGTCTCCCTCACAAGCAGTACCTCCTAGGAAACCCTGTGGGGCAGTTCCATTTATCCTTGAAGGTTGCTATGAGTCAGGATTGACAACAATAGGCCTTATACATCTATTTGTAATACTGAAATTTAATTTGTGATTAGTGCGAGAAGTGTCTCAATGACTCCTCCCCAAAACCAGATCATCGCTCAGACTCTGCCCTTGCTCAGGGTGATCAGACATGCTACAGTTTATCCTGGTTCCTGGTGTCCCCATCTGTAGGCAAAGGAGGTCCCTGTCAGTTCAGCAAGTGGGGAACGGATCTCAGTTCTCTGGTCTTGCTTGCTGGACCAGTTGGGGGTCCAGCAGGAAGCAGATGGCATACTCTGAGCAGGATGATTTGATCAGGGTTTGATGAAAGGACTTTTCTATGAAGGCGTGGCAACTATAGATGGTACAGGACCCCAGAGTTAGTACAGCCAGGGGAGGGAGGGGCCCAGTCATTCTGCCAAAAGTGATCAGCCCATATCCAGAGGAGGAGGGGCTTGCGAATGGCTACTTTCCCACAGGAGGAAGAGAATTCCACGCAGAGGAAATGGCAGGAATAAAGATGTAGAAGGTGGGGTGTATATGCTGGCATGAGGGCAGATACAACAAAAGCAGGCATCGGTGGGGAGAAAAAGCCACAGAGGGTGCAGAGAGGCTGGCCTGGGTGTCAGGGTGAGGATAATTCTCTTCTAGGGACTGAAGTCCTAGGAACAGTCAGACTTGGGTCCTGATTTATCTGTCTGAGCTGGTCCCGCCCAGCTCCAGGCTCCCAGTTCCCACCTCCCTCCTCCCATCTCTACCTCATGCTCATTCCTGACTCAGGTCTATGGTCAGCCAGGTTTGGGTCCTGAGACTGGGCCCTGAGTCTCTATTATGTGCTGGGCCCTGCACTCGGTATAAGAACTTAGGGACTTGGGGCTCAGGTGCACTTGGTTCCTCTTTCTTGTCCTACTACCACTAGCTGTGTGACCTTGAGCAAATGACAATGTATCTTGAGCCTCAGTTTCCACTGCTGTGTAATCGATCTATAATGGTCATGTGACAGACGTGTCCCCCCGCCCGGTGGAGGTGATATGACTTACCACAGAGCACAAATGGGCACTTGAGGGTAGGGATGATGAAGACAGACTGGGAAGTGTGGGGAGTGGTTTCCCAAGGAAACCTCCAGATAGAATAGGAAATTCCCCAAGAACTGGCAGAGACATAGAGGTAGAGTGAAGAGGGTCATAAACTTCCGTGAAGGAAATGATGAAGGCCTTGAGGGCGGGAAGGGGGACTCACCCGAAGAGGAGCCGAGGAGCCGTCTGGAAAGAAGGCTTTTGAGAAGAGATGGTCCAAGGCTCGGTAGTCCATGTCCAAGCCCTTTGGTGACCCCTGCCCCAGGCCTCCAGGTAGTCACAGCTTCCCTCCTCTAAGATGACATTATAATCTTTTTGATCATTGGCCAAGGCTCAGGATTGACATCTGCCTTACCTGCGGGAAGGGCTTGGCTTTGTCCATTCTTCTGTGGGGCTACCTTACCAGGTCAGATGAACCCGAAAATGTAGACACTGCCCCCAGTGGCCTCTGCTGGTGCTGGGAACAGCCAGTTCCTTGGATGAGCACCGAGGTTGTATCATGTAGTATACATCATGTGCATACCTCTGACTCGGCCCCCCAGATATGCCCCCTGTGTTTACAGGTACTAGGGGGAACCTCTGCATTGTCACTTTTCCTTGAGAGTTGATGTGTCTTCCCCAGTGCCCTCCTCCTCCCGGGTGCTGGATACACAGTGCATGCTCATGAGTCAGGGTTAAGGAGTCTCACGGGCAAGCAGAGGGGTTATACACGCACATGCATGGGTGTACACACACACGGCTGTAAAGGGAGAGTGTTACTAGGAGAGATTGGAGCCTGGCTGCTCTACAGGAACCACAATGAGGCTGAAGGAGGGAGTCCCCAACGGTCTCCTGAGGCTGCAGAGTGGGTTCCACTGGCGAAAGGTACAGGGAAGGGAGTCATTGGAACACAGAGCAAAGGCAAAGGAGCATCCTCACCGCCAAGGATGGTGAGGGGGAACCAGAGAGAGGAAGATGGTTTTGTGGCCATCTTCAATGTAATGCTCAGGTGTAGTGGAAAGTTTGAATGAGCTATCATTATTGAAAAGTCAGAATATTTCATATCAAAATGCAAACCAGATTTCCAGCTTCTAGAGCTGTAAGAAGCTGTGGTTTCATTGCTGCTGCGCAACTGTGGGAAGCGCTGTCTGCACCAGGCGCCTGGTTGCCGCACAGCAATGGCTGGAGGTCAGCAGTTGTTGTTTCCCCTGATTTTGTTACCTGCCCAGCCCTGTAGGCATCCTGTGTTCATTCAGAACCCCTGGCAAAGAAGGTCTGAATGAAAAGCTGGAGCTCAGAGAGGCTCAGATTGGAAGGGACTTGGAGGTCATCCAAGCTTCTACCCAATGTGGCGTCCTGGGAGAGGTCCACGCCCAGTAAACGGGCGCTTGGATATCTCCAGTGACAGAGTGCTCGCTGTCTCACAACAGTGTGGACTCTGGGGACAATTTTGCTTGCCAGGGTGGGAGGGGCAGCATGAGGCCTGACTGGGGTGGTCTTGACTGACCTTGTTCAACCAACTTCTCTGTCTTCTGTTGACAGAGTCGCCCCAAGAAAGGCCGGGCTCCCGGCGCAGCCTGCCCGGGAGCCTCTCAGAGAAGAGCCCCAGCATGGAGCCCTCGGCGGCCACGCCGTTCCGGGTCACGGTAACTATCTCTGCGTCACCACCACCGCCACTGCCAGCACCATCACCACCTCGCCCGGGTGCTGCGGTGCGCCCTGTGGCCCCCCTTCCTGGAGCCTCACGGACGGGAGAGCACCCAGCCTCCCTCGCTCTAGGTATCCGATCATTCAGCTGTCCCCGCTCTGTGGCTCTGCCCTGCCCTGGGGGGCCACGGGGGCGCCATCCTGTGGGAGAGGGGGCAGGTGGAGGACCCCAGTGATCCAGGGTTTCCGAGTTGAGCTCGACCCTGGATGGGAGAGGCTAATACTGGGGCAGCTAAACGTGCCCTCTCTTCTTTGTGTACACACTGTGCCTCCTTGACACTTTAGATACAATATTTGCGTCTGTGTTTTGACATCTCTGAAAGTGAGGCATACCTGAGAGTTGCTGGTGTGTCATAATGTAATCGTGGTGTTTGGGGGGTTTCCTTTCATTGTGGTATGCAATACAATGCTATGTTACCACATCAGGGTATATATCTCTGAGTTGTTGAGCTTAGTGGGTGCCATCAACATAATTTTTTTTCATTTTCTTGTGGTAGAAATATATGTATATGTTGTTGTTGTTAGGTCCCATTAAGTCACCTGGCTCATAGTGACCCTATGAACAACAGATCTGAACCCTACCTTATCCTGTGCCATCCTCACAATCTCAGCTCTTCACAAACTCCTTGTTATGGTCACTGTCAATTCATCTTGTTAGGGAGTATCTTCCTCTCCTTCTCTGACCCTCTTTTGTTCCTAGCATGATGTCTCTGTGTGTGTGCGCGTGTGTGTATCTCTATCTATCTATCTATCTATCTATCTATCTATCTATCTATCTATCTATCTATCTATCTCTCTGGTGGCCTAGTGAGTAAGGCATTGCACTACTTCCTCTCCTTCTCTGACCCTCTGTTGTTCCTAGCATGATGTCTCTGTGTGTGCGTGTGTGTATCTCTGTCTGTCTGTCTGTCTGTCTGTCTATCTATCTATCTATCTATCTATAGCTCTGGTGGCCTAGTGAGTAAGGCATTGCACTACTTCCTCTTCTTTTCTTACCCTCTGTTGTTCCTAGCATGATGTCTCTGTGTGTGTGCGTGTGTGTATCTCTGTCTATCTATCTATCTATCTATCTATCTATCTATCTATCTATCTATCTATCTATCTATCTATCTATAGCTCTGGTGGCCCAGTGAGTAAGGCATTGCACTACCAACCTAAAGGCAGCTGGTTTGAATCCACAGGCTGCTCCTTGGAGAAAGATGGAGATTTCCTATGTAATATTGCAGCCTCTGAAAACATGCTAGAGGATCAGCCCTGAGTTGATTTTTAACTTAATGGCACTTAATAACAGCAGCAACATACGTGTGTGTGTGTGTGTGTAAGAAATCTGTCATTTAAACCTTTTTTTCCCTTTTTTTAAAAAATTTTATTAGTTTTAATGAACATTTACAGAGATTTTGGGTTTTCGTTCATTCATTGTTGCACTGTTTTCTCTACCCTCCTCCCCAGTTCGTTCTTCTTTCCCCCCCCAAAATGTCTGTTTTAATTGTCCAATTGCCACAGTGCTTGTCAAAGCCAGTTCTGGTTAATCTCCTTTGTCAGTGTGTCCTTTGCCATTCCCTATCACTCCTCCCTGAGAGAGACTTCACCCTGATTCATAAGGAAAAGGGGATGGCGTGTTCTCTTAGCTACTTCCTGCTGAAAAGGGACGCTGTAGGTTTCAGGGTGAAGATCTTCCCTCACTACTCTACAGGGCCCCTTTGGCAGTAGGAAACACATAGACTATTATGGAGAATGATTTTGGAATTTAGATGTACTGTTATCAGTTGTGCTTAGTTGTACATGTTCATATCCTTGAAGATGTATCATGGAAGTGTTGCAGCCTAGAAGACACAAATTTAACTAACAAGTTAAAAGTACACGAGTCAAAAATTAAAAAGCAATAATATTCTGAGTAGAGGCTCTAATAGTGGCACAAATCAAGTTACAGAGGGAAGATGGTTCTTACAATAAAAGGCCTATAGACTAGCACTTTGTCTCTTATAGTGTAGAGGTTAGGAACCACAAGATGTAGAGGCTCAGCTATGTCATTTATGGTTCTTAAGTCCTGGAGCAAACTCCATCTACCACTGGGTTGTTTTAAAACTCGGAAGTTCACATGCAAGGTAGAGGTGAAGTAAGGAACTGCTTTAATTCCAACAACTAAGAAATAGTGAGAAGAATTGGGACCTCAGAAGGCTTTTAGGGCCAATTAGTAGGCTCTGTGTCCAGGAGAAAACGAATAAACTTACCAGTAATGTTAATGCTCACCCACAGCTCTTCTGGGAGGATCTAACTCGTTGAAGCATCCTCCTTTGTTTTCCATTTAAACCTTTTTAAAGTGTACCGTGCAGTAGCATTAAGTACATGCATGCAGTATGCAACCGTCATCTTTTTATCTGTTTCCACAACTTTTTCCTCACTCCTGACAGAAGCTATAGAGCTAATAAGCAATGCCTCTCCTTTTTCCCCACCTACCAGCCCTGATAACCTCTGGTCCGCTTTCTGTCTCCATGAATTCACTTGTTCTACACGTTTCACACAAGTGGAACCATACACTTTTTATCCTTTTGTGTCTGATTTATCTCACTTAGCATATTTTAAAGGTTTCTCCATATTGTTGTTTAGATCAGTGCTTCCTTTTAATAGCAAAATAATATCCTATTGTTGACTATAATAATGTATGTATGTATCACATTTTGTTTTCCATTCATCTCCTTGTGGATAGTTGGGTTGTTTCCACCTTTTGGCTGTTGTGAATAACAGCTGCTCTGAACATTGGTGTACATGTATCTATTTGAGCAGCTGCTTTCTACTCTCTTGGGTATATACCCAGGAGTGGAATTGCTGGGTCATTTGCTATTTCATTTGGTATTTCTATATTTAACATTTTGAGGAACCATCAAACTGTTTTCCACAGTGGCGGCACCATTTTGCATTCCCACCAGCAATTCACTCATGTTTTTGGTTTTTTTAAAAGAAACATTAACAACTGTATGGAAACAGAACCCTGAGGCCCTTAATGTCTCTCTTTTTCTGCCCCTCCAAATCTCTGGCCATCTTGGCTGCACATAAGGAGACAGTTTTGTGCCTCTCATTTCACATTTAGTAAGGTGTGACCTTCTCTCCAGGGCTCTGCCAGGCATCAGAGAAATTCTCTCCGCAAGGCAAGTAGCCTGTGCAAAAGGTGGATGTTTGATTGCTTGTTCATCTATTCATTCATTCATCAGTTTTTGTGGAGAGTCTCATGTGCCAGGCCCCATTCCAAGGGCTGAGACTGGCAAGGAGGAACTGTCTGAGACAGCACAAGATGCACAAAGACCCTGGCCTTATGAGCTCACGTTCTCATGATGGAGCTTAGTGCCGTGAAGGAGTAAAGCAGGCTGCTGTGATAGAGCAAACCAGGAGGGCTTCCTTGAGGTGGTGTGGTCAGAGGTACTGTTTGAGCTGTAGCCCAGGAATGAGGAATCAGCCTTATGAGAAGTAAAGGAGAGAAGGTTATAAATGGAGCTTGCATGGTGCAGAGGCTCAGTGTCATTGTAAAGTATAATACAAGGTTCCAGATGTGCTAGGAGAGACTGAATGTTCCTGGTAAGTTGGGAGAGGTGTCTCAGGGGAGCTGACTTTTGAGCTGCTAGAAATTAGTCTCAGCATAAACTTAGCTGGCAGGAACGGTGAACAAGGGAGTTCCCGGTGGGGAGTGCAGCAATGACAGTGGCGTAGAAGCACTCTGGATGTGGGTATACTAACATGTAGAATTGTGTGTGAGGCTGGAGTTGAGAGGTCTGAAGAACAGGAGGAGATGAAACTGAGAAGCTGGTCCACATCTGGGTTACATGAAGCCTGCAGTGACAGACCGATTCTCTCCTCTTTATGCGCTTCACAGAAATGCTTTATTTTAAAAAAATGCTTTTAAAAAATGCAGATTCTTGGGCCTCTTCAAGATTCCATTTGCATGGGTCAGGGATAGTGGCCTGACTCATCCCTGCTCAGAAATCTGCATTCTTAGTCGAGGTGGGTTTGAGCTCCAGGCTGAGTCCAGTGTTGGTTCAGCAGGGAGAAAGGGAAGCCACTAGGGACATGGGCCTGGGAGCTGTGCGGGGCTTGCAGGCACAGCCAGGAGGCTGACATCAGGGTGACCTCTACTGCCGTCAGCTGGAGTTGAGACCCAGTTCAGCCATCTCTGGCCCCACAGCCGAGGGTCTAGAGTATTTACGGGGTGTGTGTGTGTGTGTGTGTGTGTGTGTGTGGTGTGTGTGGAGGGGTGGGGAGAGCAATGACAGGTAGTAATAATGGCCATCTCCACTGGAGCACCTACTTGTGTTTCAGGCAGTGTGTTCACTGCTCGACAGACATGATCTCTTAACCCTACAACCGCCCTAAAACAGATAGTTTGATCATTTCACTTCACAGCTAAAGAAACTGAGGCTCAGAGGGATGCATTCACTCCTCCCAGCTCCAGCTGCTAACTAAATGGTGGTCAAGATTTGGACCCAGGTCTTTATGATCCCAGGGCATTAATTAGCATGAGTTTCCTCTCCTCTAGCTGTGGGGAAGAAGCTCTGCTGCCCCCACACCCTCCCCAAATCCCAAAAGCTTTTTTATCTTTTTCCTTTCTTTTTGCCGAGCTAATAGCTGTATCATCACGCCTTGAAGTTGCTATAATTTGCAGCTCTTTAATTGCCAGCTAGGCTTGGCGGTTCTTGATGTAGTGGCTTCTTCTCTCTGTTTCCTGGTGTGAAAACCACCTGTGGATCAGAGCCTGAGCCAGCCTTCTGAACCACAGGCAGCCTAGGAATGAAAGGGTCCGCAGAATGGGAAGCATGCTTGTGGTCGTCATTGTACAACTCCTCAGGGCTGCCCTATGTGGAGGTGCCAGTAGTATCCTTGTATCACAGATGAGGAGACCAAGGATTAGAGAGATAAGGTCATTTGCTTGGTGTCACATGGCTCCTGAGTG